ACAAATGTAATGTAATAGTCAAACTTCTGCAACAAGGAACACAGAAGGGCTGGGCCCACAGATCTGTCTATCTATATATACCCATACCACATCAACAAATTTTATCTTCAAAAGCAGGAGTATTAAAATAATTTGCACAATGCTACTATTCATTATTCATACCCAGAGCGAAATATGTTCTTTCAGAACCAGTATTTAGGCTCTGTGGGAGGGGGTGAAGCACCTGAAGGTGGTTTCACAAAATTACATAAATGTGTACCACCATGAGGTTTACAAACGCATTAGTGTTAAAAAAAAAACCAACTCTCAAAAGAAATATATTTTAAGAAATAGTAATAAATATAAGCCATTATGAACGATGCAAAATCTAATTTTTTTCTGTGTGCCACACAGGAAAATACGAAGTCAACGAGAATATTCCCCATTAGAAGGAAAAAAAATTCAGCCACTTAAGGAAGAAGAGGTTGACCGTTTAGTTCAGTTACAGGAGATTGATCAAAGGTCTGAAAACAACAGCAAAAGAGCTGGTTATGGAAACTGAAAACGGGGAAGGGGAAACCAGAAACATTCTTTTGGGCTTGCCAAGAGAACTAGGAAAGCAGAATTTGTTAATGCAAACCAAAAGGGTTTTAAAAATATATACTAGGAGTGGGAAATGCAGCAAGCAACAACAGTAATTCATAAACCAGAAAGCATTCCCCTCGTTAATAAGAGACAAATGGTACTAAATACTTCCTAAAAATTAGTCTCGCACAAGGTGGGGGGAGGAGAAGAAAGATGGAAGAAATGAGAAAATACTGACCATCTCATCGAGGTAATGACTGATTGTAAAGTTGGTGAGGGAACGGTGGGGAGGTATGAGATCAGACGTGTGGGTGCTCGCCAGCTCCAGGTTTTGCATTCCAGGGGTCATATGTGGGTGGCTTTTGTGTGCTCAGGGAAGAGGGGCAAGAGAGCTGCGACTACACTTAAATCCTCTGAGTGCCAACAGTTCATTACACACACACAGATGCATTCTCTACAGCCAGAGCTCCATGGAGAGCAGTTCAGAGAGCACATGCCCACCACCTCACCCTGACCGATCTTTCCAAAGAGCTCTACAGGGGTTGCAACTGCACATTGCCACCGCACTACTGTATACTCTTCTGTGACAGAAAAATCAAAAGAGCATACAAATACGAAATCTGATTATAAGTAGCTACTGTATTACTGGCAATTGCTGCATTTTTAGATGTTCTAGAAATTCACAAAGGTTGCAGGGGAAAATACTGTTTGGGACACTAAACTTTGAAAAGGAAGACAAGACTACCTAGCTATTGCTATGTTGAGAATACATCCTCAAGTCTACAGCAAAACAACTAAACCAAAACAAGATTGAGACCTTGATTCTTTGAGCCTGTAAATCAAAGAATATGTAGAGCCTGATTTGAGATTTGGCACTGTTCAGCTACCTAGGTACATTGAGGGGGAAAATTGGGAAAGCTCGGTGGTGGAACATACGCCAGTGGGAAAGGCAGCAGCATTACACCAGGAGCTCCAAACAAGAGGCATCTCCAAGTTCTCCATTACAGCAAAAAAGCTGTTTGGCCAGTACAGGAGCAGCAGGTTGGCTGGAGAGTGCCTTGTATTGATTGACTGAAGGGTCCCTAACAAATGGGATGCTCTTTCAACCTTGAGTCCCTGTGGGAAGCGCTTACCTTTTTTTCCTTAGCCATTCTTCTGTTCTTCTCCTTCCCAGCTGGGCTGGGAAAATTTTTCATCATTCCTGTGACATATAGTAAGTAAAGGGCAACTATACTGTGCTTTAGAGAAACTCCTAGAAAAGATCCTTGCCTACAGTAAGAATAAAAAGTAAAGCTTATGTAAAGAAATGTAAAAGAAATGAAAAAAGTAAGGACATCATACAAATCTAGATCATCTCTGGCTGAATGAGGAAAAGCGTGTATAAAATATACCATTGTGGATTAGGTATTAAGGCATTTGAGGGACTTTTCTGCATTTTATTTGAATAATTAATATTGACTGAGGTAAAAGCAGGGACTTTGCTTTCACATTCCTGATCCACAAAGGTAAGTCTGCCAAAACCATGCTACTTCTGTTAGAAGGAAGGCTCCTTAGGAAGGTGGGAGTAATTGTGTAAGCTAAGAATTGCCAGAGGCTTACCTGAGACATCTTGAATGACTACAGACAGGTTTGAGAGACCCTTTTGGGGATGTATGTCCCACCACATGTCAGAAGACATTTTCCCTTGTGTGTTAAGGTGAATGGGACCATAGCAGAGTAGATATAAATGTCCTTCAGGATAAGGAATTTGGTAGGATTCCAAAAAATACTGCGTACCAAGAAACAGAACTCCCAAGCAGCAGACTTCATGTGGCTTTTAGCATCAGAGCGACTTTGCTACTGTGGCATGAGAAGAAAGTAAGTGGCTATTTAAAATATTTTTGTTCATAACTGAGAAGTATCTTCTGTCTGCAAACCAGTGCGTAAGTCACAAACATCTTCCATTTAAAATTTACATGAATTTATAAACATTTTATAAAGCAGAGTGAAGCAAGACAGACTAACTTGGAGTAAGGGGAAGAAGTCAGTGCTCATTGCCTGCCCTATCAAACTGAATTGTGTGGGGGTTTTGTATTCAGAAAGATCACAGTGAGCTTTATAGCCAGCTTGTAACAATGCTACAGCACAGCTGACAGCACATCACCACCAGTAAAATCACCAGGTGAGAACTCAAACATCACTTGGTTCAACCACGTGGAGGGAGCATGATAAGTATGTTTTAGACTGTTGTGGGATGAGTATTAACGTCCTTCACCAATACTTCGCAATCCCAGAGGAAACACAGGAAGCTAGATCCATCCATGTGTAAGGCCTTGTGTATCCATTAGGATGTTTATTCCCCCAAAACACCCTTCTCTTCCTCATCTGTTTAGCCCCTGAAGTTCACAAGGACATAGGCTATGAAGGACTACCATTGAAAGGAAATACAAATTGTAGAAAGGCTGAGATGGGAAAGTTCCTAAGGCCGTATTTCTTGCCAGGGACTTTCCTTGAATACAGTGTCTGCAAGACAGAGATAATATATATCACTGCCAAATCCCACTTCCAAAACAGGCTGCCAGAATTTCCCAAGACAACTGTAGGGTCTAAAGGTCAGGCATCCTCTTCCTCTCAGTGCAGTCCTCTGACGGGGATTTAAGTGTGTATCATGGGTACAAAACCTGGTTGCACATTTCTAGAATAAGAACCAACCTGAAGCTTGATGAAAGAGGATCAGTTCAAACATCTTTTTTTCTTGTAAAAGCATTTGAGATGCATAAAAATGATTTACCCTTTGTTCTGTTCAGTAGACCTAATGCTGACCTAACACTAGGTTTGAGAATCATTGCTACAATTTCAAAGCAGCTGTAGATAGAGCTGGAAGATTGTCTGATCAAGATAAAGCTCCTATTGCTGTGCAAAAGAGCTGAGTGCTCATAAATGACCACCTCTGCTCCATTCTAACAAAAAACGTGGTATAGCCAAAACTGGAAATCTTTCACAGATCTTTCCCCTGCTCCCTATCTTTTAGCATTCAATGTCAATTAAATAAAATTCATCTAGCATTTCCAGTATGTCGGTTCCAAATAACAATAATAGAATTATTATGCTTAAAATACATTTTTTGCATAAATTACGGAAGACAGAAAATCAATGTGCCAGAAGTGGCCTTTTGCTTATTTAACATACATTTACAGTTTAAATGCTGCCCTTTATAGAAGTTTTCCTTACTCAACTACGCATAGCCAGATTTTCATTTTTATGTCCTGCTCTACATCTTTTTTCCCCACACTGCTAATATGGAAATAGCTTAAAGAAGGTCGTTGATAATTTTGACACATTACTGAACAATCACGGCTTTGTTACAGCATCCAGCTATAGTTACGAATGCGCGAGATAAGTAGTAGCCAAGTGTGCAGACGCTGAAATACTATATCCCAGTCTGAGGTGCCCTCAACTTTCACAGGCACCATCAGGAACAAGAGGAAGAGAGGAGACATGCCCGTAAAAAGCGCAGTGAAGAGGAGATACCTCACATGCAGCGTTTAACGCTCTCCAACTCAGATTTCGGGATTTACCCCTGGAAGTCACAGTCAAATTACGTAAACTACAGTTTGAGCGCTGACAAAGCACTGAAGTGGCACCACGCTGAAGAGCATCACCCACAGACTAACTCCCTGCCCACTGAGGCTTCCCAGCCTATCCTGGGGCCTGGATCCCCTCCCGCTGCTCCAATTCTCTCAACAGACTGCGGAAATGCGGTGTTTCTGCTGAGTTTGAGCTTCACACTGTTCACAATTAGGTCCTTAATGAGTGTAAATGTAGACATTAAACCTGAGCAGACTGTTGCAAGTGAAAGAAGGCAGAACTGCTGTACCTACTATGTTTGCTTTGTTTGCAAATAAATCATTGTAACAGGTTAGAAACACGTTTAGTAATGACTAATCTAACGGGACTTTTTGATAAAGTTCCATGACCGTGAGCACCTCCTTGAAGCACATGATCTGATGTGCTCTGAATTTAACAGGGGCTTGTCTTTACTTCAGCGTAAGAAAGTCCAGGCGGCAGATGACTGCCAGGATCTGCAATTTATTTTATTTATGCAACCTGCAGCATAATCACACAATCATTAAACTGTCAGTTTTTATTTTTATGAGCAAAAATGATGCAAGTGCTGTTATTCAGATAATATACATTAAGCCAAAGAGCTAGCCATCGACGTGGAATTGAAAATTTTGAATTCCCAGAAATGGCACAGATCACTTTGCTTTCACCTGGGAACTTGCCTTCCAAATTTGTGCCAAATTCTATATGCAGCTTATTTTCAGTCCAGCAGTATCGAGTGCTAAAGAAGTGCACATAACTTCTCACAAAACTCAAACAGACTTTGTGTACTTTTATTTACTATAGTCAGGGCTGCCCACACAGGAAAAAAAAATGCCAAACCAAGCACCAGATCCAAAATTAGCATTTTATTCAGAACGTTGGGGTCAGAGGTGTATCATTCATATTCTGGTACACAATACAGAGGCAAAGCTGTTCTCAGAAGTCTCTCCAGTTTGAAAGCTCCTTCCCCCCTTCCCTCCCTGCCCCCAAAACATACTGTATATTTACTCGTGCCACCAGTATCAGGCCAACTCCCCTCCCCCCCACTTTTTTTTGGTACAAATTATGTAAAACTTTTGTGCTAAGAACTTTTCTCCCTCCCCAAACCAAAAAAATAATAAAAATAAAAATAAAAAAAATATTGAGTACTCTAACTACAGTTCAACAATTGAATCAATGTCACTTGTTTGCAACCTGTTTTGTAAATACTTTATCCATAACGAAAGATATAAACATGCAAAAACCTGAATCCATAGTCCAAATAATACATACACGTGTTCTGAAGTTTCTTCACTTCTCCACAGACTATGCCAATAAAACATTATGTACACATACCATTTTTTACAGTGAAGTGGGAAAAAAATACTAGAAATTAAAAAGAGAAAAAAGAAAAGTGTACATGGATTAAGACCAAAATGTGTCTAACATTCTAGCATAAGAAAAAAAAAAATCAGTTCTGCTACAAACTGGTGATATGAAAACTCCCTTTATTTGCAACCAGCTGCATAAGTTTTAGAATTTTAGTGAAAAAAATCCCCTAACATCTAAAACTAGAAGTAATGTACATTGTTCCACCTCATGGTCTTCTCTCCCAGATAATAAAATTGTTCCATGAGGAGGTTTTTTTGTTTATTTTTAATCTCCTTATTTTAATAAAAGCAATGCGATGTAACAAAAGCATGTTGAAGCATATTGTGTTTCACCTTACTCCTCCCCACCCCAACATATTTTGTCTCTTTAATGCATCATTTCATAAATCAGTACCATTAAAGCCTTAAACATAAAACTAATTCCGATCTGAAAAAGGTACAAAAAGGCACATAAAATCCCAGTGCTTCTGTACTGTAAAATTCAAGTGTAACTGAGCTCAATATTTTTTTCCAAACAGCATTGGATCACTGATATTCCACGGAGCCCAAATTGGTTTGCAGCCTAAGCCAAAGCCTTCAGCAAGCACTTGTGCTAGTAGACTACAAAGTTAAAGCCTAGCTTCTGTATGCTTTTGGGGAATATCAGTTGAAATGTTTGTACTTGTCCAAAAACAAAGTTCACTCTGAAGTTCAGTCATCACCTCCACCATACATATCAGCAAGTTTCTTGAAACGTGGGCCCCAGTCATTTAGGTAGTCATAGTCTTGCTCACCACCACTACTTGAGGAGTTAAGAGAGCTCAAGGATCCAGCAGTGGAGCCACTTCCTTCATAGTCAAAGACTAAGAGGGAGTCATATGGTGGGGCTGTAGGGTCATTGTCGGCTGCTTTAAGTCCCTGCAAGAAGGAGAGGGAGGAAAAAAGATTGAAGTTCTGTATCCGAGAGAGAGGCAAAACGTAACTGGAATATCGCAGTGTAGTTATCTATCAATCGCCACTTGAGAAAACCAAGTTCTTGTTCTTCCGCAATCCAATTCAAAACAGGATTCCTGGTTTTGTGACTCCAGCAAGAACTTATTTCAATTCCTTTCAGAACGGTCAGAGTTCCAGCATTACAGCACTGGACATTTTGAATATAGCTGCAAATACAGCTCTAACAAAACCTTAGAAGAACATCACGGCACTAGGACCGATGCTACACAGCTCACAACCTGCAGCATGAGCAATATGGGACTGGTTAAACAGACAGATGGGGAAGGAGAAATAGGCATGTTTGCAAAGATTCACTTTAACAGCCATCTCACATGGCCAATAACATATCCACTGACATTTCTGGCCTGCAGTCCATCTGCGTGTGCCAAAAGCTGTATTTAGTTCTGTAAAATTCATGTACCTCTGTAGGCTGCTGTGAGAAAAGATACAATATGTTGGCTTAAGCCTTATGTGGTTTGCCATAACCACCCATAAGATTCCACCTGCTCTTCAGAAAACACACGCACACAATGACATCAAAACTAAATACATGATTATAACCATTTTTGTTTTCTCATTTCAAAGTATTCAACTTATGAACACATGATTATTGGGTCTTCAGTAATTTTAAATTTCTACTCTCTATAGCTGAATAACCCAAACTAAAACCAAAACAAATTGAACAAGAGGAAAGGAAGGAGAGAACCACACTTCTTCCAGAGAAAAGACTCTTCCCTTCCTGTTTTCTTACACAGGTCCAAACCTAAACAGTAAGTTTAATTTTAGAATATGAGACAATTGCTCTGTGCTTATCCTGGGAAGATTTACAAGTTGAATATAAAAGGCTGAAGCAGGAAGTTAAAAGCCCTCTTGTGTTTTGGATTTTTCAATCTCGCAGCTTCTTTCACGAGATCAGCAATGCTTTTTCAAGATCTTCCACTTTGAATAGGATCTACTCTGGCAGGGATAATATATCATAGAATCATAGAATCATTAAGGTTGGAAAAGACCTCTAAGATCATCAAGTCCAACCGTTAACCCAACACCACCATGCCCACTAAACCATGTCCCTAAGTGCCTCATCTACATGTCTTTTAAATACTTCCAGGGATGGTGACTCCACCACTTCCCTGGGCAGCCTGTTCCAAGGCCTGACCACTCTTTCAGTAAAGAAGTTTCTCCTAATGTCCAGTCTAAACCTCCCTTGGCGCAACTTGAGGCCATTTCCTCTCGACCTATCGCTAGTTACTTGCGAGAAGAGACCAACCCCCACCTCGCTACAACCTCCTTTCAGGTAGTTGTAGAGCACGATGAGGTCTCCCCTCAGCCTCCTCTTCTCCAGGCTAAACAGCCCCAGTTCCCTCAGCGGCTCCTCATAAGACTTGTTCTCTAGACCCTTCACCAGATTTCTTGCCCTTCTCTTCCAGAATCCTATAAGGCTGAGCTGAGATTGTAAATTGCTCACTGTTAATTTTAACAAGTGATATTTGTGCTGGTTTTAATTTTTAATGTTTATTTATTTAAAGAATGCCTTTATTATACTCCCAATTATTTGAAGGATTGAGTGTACCTCCTTCGAATTATTTAACATATTCTGTTTTTAGAAAAGTATGTTTTACTCTCAATTGTGTTTAGTCTAAATGTGACATAATGGAAACGGATGTTGATTTTTCTTCTAGAAATACATGTATAGCTAGACCCATTAATTAAAGCATATGGCACTGATAAGGTAGAAGAGAATCCTGGTTCTTTATTGCCTATCTAAAATAATTCAGAAGTGTGCAAAATGTACCTAAAATAATTTTGCAAATCAGTGGTGGAAAGGCCTAGCATATTTATCAAACTAATGACCTCTAATCAAGAACACATTTTGGACTTACAATGATCGTTTCATGCAGTACAACACCACCAAGCAGGTTATTAATAGCCTGCATTAGAAGCGCAGTTTTGAATTATCTGATAAGAATAACTGGTGATGCTCGTCACCTTTCTCTTTGGAGTCTTCCGTCCTGGTGGCCATCATAAGGACAAAAGATTTGAGATTCCGAAAAGGCAATAGGAAGTGCTGGAAGACTTCCCTTATTCAGCTTCAAAGCTGGAAACAGTTCTAAGGCTTTCTCTCAATTTGTGCTGCTGAAGCAGAAATGCAACTTTATTTCTTAGGCGGTAACTGGCCTTATAGTAGTTGCATCTTCCCTTAAGACTGCTTGGGATGACAGACACCCATGCTTTTCAAACACAGGTGACAGGGAAGGAGAATAAATACCACTTGAGCTTAAGGAGTGCTGAGGTGTGAATCCCAGGTATCAGTGTGTAAAAGTCATTTAGAAAGCTGGCTTGGAGACGCAATGCTATTTCTCTGCAGTTCTGCCTAGTAACAGCCAGCCAACCATGGGATACTAATTTATTAAAAATTAGTGAACAAAACATTTTCCTACATCACTGCAGAAATTCTGATACCTATCAGCCATCCGTGGCAAGGTGGCAGGCAGCCTCTTTCCATCTTTTTTTCCAAAGGGGAAGTTGGATTTTTTGCAATTTGCTGCTGGTACCATGACAGCATTTAAAAAGAAAACTGGTTTTGAGCTACTGACTTACAAGATAGCATCTCACTGACAAATTCACTGTTTCAAAGGTTGTGCTTACTGTGTAATCCATTTCATTCAGCGAATGTAGCTACAGGCCATGTTATGCAGGTATTGACTCAACTGCACAGCCCAAGTTACACTGACATTTGCACCTATCTTCTGGTTAAAAATTCCTCAGATTCATAGTATAATGAGTGAACTTAGTCTCTAACTCTTAAATGACAAGTGGCAAGTTACATATTAAAATGAAAAAGAAATACTACAATTTTTTCACTTTCGCTCTGCTAAGCATATTCTCTGAACCTACCCAGTATGCTGCTCCACTTTGCTGCTGGGTTCTGCAGCATGTCCGGAGCTGGAGTTACTGAATGTCAGCTTTGGCAGTGAAACTGGCTTATGAAGCTCCCCCTTTGGTTTCAGTATTGCCACCTTTTTTGCTTATTATGCCATCCCTTCCGGTGGGTGGTACCATAACCTGCTGTATTGGCACAACTGAAAAGGCAACAAATGGCTGCCAAGAACTGCTTCTACTGATTTTGCTGCCATGGTATTGTCAACTGCTCCTGAAGAGATCTCTCCATTTTTCCCAGATGTGTTCAAGAATCTCAGAGCAGCAGAGTTGTTATAGTTATTTGGTTTACAGTTTCCTGATCTGAAAAGCCAAATTCTTACTAGAGAAGCTTATTCAACAACAGAATTGCTGGGGCACACGCTTGGGACCAGGTGATTGTTCTGGGAAATAGTGAACTAAGTCACATTTCTTTGCATTTGCCATATCACCAATGCACAACAAGCAGTCACAGAAGAGCCATGGCAATACAAAGGTCACCTTGAGAGCTAGGATAGACTGAGTAGCAATCTCACTTATTTCCTCTTCCTCTTTTATGCATGTCGTGGCAACTTTCACTAAGGAGGAGATAAGGGGCAGAAGAGGAGAAACTACAGTGCCTTGACTGAGGAACAATGGTAACCTTAAGTCATACTTTCCTTAGTATGTGTAGCATTCTCAATTTGTCTCAAATTAAGGGAAAGCAAAACCCTCAAAATCTTGAACTAACATGAAACATTACAAAATCTAATGATTTTATTTTCATTAATCCTACTACTTAATCAGATTCAGCAGACTTTTGGTGAGAAGGAAAGGAAGAGCAGAGCCCTACAGGGAAATACAAATAATTATTTAAAACTGGAACTGTTTTTTACTTGAAAAGAGAAAACATTGAGGGACCCTATTCTGCTTGGAGGTGCACTGTATCGATAACCATTTACTAAGAATGAATTGAGAGTCCTTCATGTCCTTCTGGGATGAGACCTTTAGTTTGTAATTTAAATTTAATTTACCTCAGGCTATGTCCTCTATTGATTAGAAATATATTCTTAGCCACAAACTCTCTACCACGATATAATTTGTTTAAGATTTCTAGGGACAGCATAGGTGGTTCCTGAAAACAGAATTAACAAAGCTACTTCAAACAGACCTAATTTATACTGTCCTGCAAATCCTGACTATTCTAAGTGTTAATTATGCTCCACAGTCTGCAGGTTATGTTTTAAAAGGCTCAAAATGGAAAACAAGGTCTACAGAGGATTCTTAATAACACATGACTTATTTCACGGACTTGTTTGTACACTGGACTGGAAGAAAAGAGGTTTTTCCCTTCCCTCCTTAAATTAGAGATTCATCTATCCATTGAAACAGACAAAACAAGAAAGTCCCCGAGGTCACTTAGCTTATGCCTGCAAAACATATTTTGATTATAAGGCACCTCTGGAACCTTCATATTTTAGAAAGTTTATAGCTTTGTATGTGTTATCTTAACTTTGTAAGTGTTATAAAAATATTGGAAGTTTTTATCATATTTGTAACTTGTTTTTCAACTGGAAAGTCATTAGAACACTACAAAATACTCATACTTCTGTATGTCTCATTGAGTTAAGTACATTTAATACAACTGATGACAGCTATAAACTAATACACCAGAAGAAACTGAGTACTGCCAAAAGGAAAGAAACACAATGACCCATTAGGTCTTTTTCACTTTTGTTTCTATGGCTCTGTAACAGAAGAAAGAAGAAAAAACCAGCCCATGCTTGCTCAGCAATGGTAGCTAAATCCTCCAATATCTGAAATCAATGACCTAGTGTTCTTTTTTGTCAAAAGTTGGAGTAATTCAGAGGCTAATCTGAACAATGCTGGCTGTGTGTCTGAGGTGCTGGTAAGCATTCAACAGACTAAATTAATTCCCGCACATAGGCCAGCATTCCAAAGGATCACGCTGATCAGCATCTCTGGGAATAGGGCCAAGTCCTCCAAAAGACCAGACTGATCTCCAAAAGTGTTGCATCTTTTCAAACCAATGGGGTAGTGCAGACTTTGCTACCGAGGTACTGACAACTCAAAGGCAGCCTCTCCCTGCTCAGCTAGCGACTGGACTAGTTTTGCAGGCTGTTTGGATTAGGGTTGCCCAAGGTAAAAGTTATGGTATGACTTGTAGTTACAGTGGAAGAAAGTTCTTTGCCTAATGATGTTGAAGCTGGATGCAAAGAGATATGAACTTTGCCCTTTCTTATCTTGCTATGTTATTTTCACAGCTTAGCATATCTTCTGTATGAACTGCCCTAAGAAACATCTGGTATGGCTTTTACCCAAGGTATTTCTTCCATTTACTCCAAGTAAAACTGAGAGGAACTCACCAATGTTCGGGTATAATCTTGCCAGGACTGCAGGTGGAATTTGCTGAAGAGAGTCTGAAAACCTGTGCAGCCTGAATGTTTATGCACTAGACGCTGATAATTTGGAAATGTAACTGTAGTAGTGAGTACTACTGTGAAAGACTGATTTTTTTTTTTTTTTTTTCTCCCCAATAGACTTTTTAGAATCACATATGCCATGGGAAATTTTAACATAAACCACAAATTATGATGAAACTGTTTTGGAGAAATAAAATCTCCATTTTGCTCAGACTTCTGGCAAAACAGACAGAGCATGGACAACCTTTGGGTGGCTACTGTCTGCCAGAGAGAGAGTTGGGTGGAATGCCCCGTAGTAAAATGATACATTGCTGTGAAAGCCTGTGAACGAAATACCTTATGAAAAAAAGAAGCTAAATACATAATGATTGAAATATAGAAACTACCTCATATAGTTCCTTTCAATCAGAGGATATAATTAATTCTGAGCTAACATGCAGACAAGGAAATTGCCGTGTTTTCTTTAATTTCAGAGTCAATGACATTATTGACATTATTTTACTCTGTAAGAATAGCTGAGAGAAGCTTTCTCTTTTGGTGGATGGCAAAGGGAAGCATAAAGGGAAGTACTGATCTAATGCAATAGACGGCAGTAAGAAAATGACTCCATGCTCGTCTCCACTGCAATATAAACATATTGGGTTAAATCAAGACAGCATGTACTGTTTCTACAGCTCCATGTGTACACATTGATACTATAATCTTCAAGACTGATAACCTACTGAAAAATAGTATTGCAAGAACAGCTTGCTAAGTAATTTAAAAATTGTAGGAGGCTGGACAAACTCTGGCCCCTTTCTGTCTTTCCAGGAAAATCACACTCATTCCGTGTCTTAGCTCTGTAACAGAGCTTGATAGCTGCTTTGAAGACAAGAAAAATCAGGGTATTGAGGATCATGGGTTCTTCCCGACCAGCTGCCAGGTGGATAGTGTCAGGTCACAGCTGCATGAGAATAGGATGGGAAACTCTGATTGTCTGGAAGAAGATGAGGAAGCACAAGGAAGTTCTTGTGTGCACACTGCCTTGGCCAAAAATGCGGGCCTTTTATCGTCCCACATCTCCACTATTTTCCAAAAGCCAGTTATAATTGTAATATTTAGAAGTGCAAGGAATTCAAAAATCCTCTTTGTTGAGACATCTCTTTCTAATACAGCTCTTCCCCAAACCTGGAGTCTCTTAAAATACAATGTCTTATGAGGATATTTGTATGCTTCCTGCTAGGTTGTCTTACAATTGTATTGCTGTATACCTTCAAAGGAGCAAACTCAATTTCCTGCAGCTTGCTAACACAAAAGACTTTAGCCTGACTTTTCAACAAGAATAAACAAGTTTGCAAAAACAGTTCTGCAATACTCTGCAATACTTGTCCAGCTCTAATTGCCAAGGAAGATATGAAAAAATTAGAGAAAATAATTAACTACCACTATTCATCTACAGAATATAGCTTATTTTTAAGTGGTAAATTTTGGGTTAATATTTGTTTTCCTATAACCAGCAAGCACAAGAAACACATTCTATCTTAAGTTCCACGAAAGCAATGATTTAAGACTGACCAGTGATAGAAATAATGAAACAAATATTTGTTGGAGCATTTCTTCCAGAACTGTGAGTAATCTGGTATAGTCTGAATCTTACTTAGATTTCTCTTTATTAGCTTGAAGAATCAAAGATCATGCAAAGACTTTCAAAGCTGTATGACAAGACAAGTATTAAAAGCACTTATATAACATTTAATTTAGCTGCCCTGCTCACTAATCGTATTTTGATGGAATTCTTTTGGTCTTATTGAAGGTACTGAATTTCCACTATTATCTGGATTCAAAGGGTAATGTATGAGGAAAATGAAAATGAACTTCCTCCATTATTACATTACTGTGAATTAATAAATGAACTTAGGCTAAACTATAATTTTGTTAGTCTATTTATTACTTGGAACACATAGAATAATCCTGCTTGGAGATACTGTGGTTGCAGCTGATAATGTATTATGAATGTAATTAATACAAACGTACAGAAGTTAATTGATATATCTTCCCTTTCTGTTTGAATAATTAGATTTGTCTGCACTTTAAAAGAACATATTTACTTCTATCTAGCAAGACAATTTTAATTGTCTAAGTAAGTTTTAAAAAGTTATCATGTTCAAACATAACAGCTACTCATGCAGAGTACAATTAACAAAATATAAAAGCTTATCAGATCTTAGGAGGAAACTTGTTCTCTCCTTTACCTCATTAATGAAGTCCCCAATGTCCCCAGGATGAGGAGCAGCTGATCTGACTGGATACTGAGGTTCTGCATGGATTGGCCTTTCATCAAGACGTCTGATTCCAACAGGTTTGATGGCATCTGGTTCCACAGTGTCAGGCTGCTGGAGCTGGCTCAAGTCATAATCCTGCAAAATATGAAACAAAGACAGTACGTTAGGAGAATTTCAAACAATATCTGTCAGGGGTAAACATGACAAGGAAAAAACGGAAAGTGCAAAGCATCATTTCACCAGAAGTCCTATTTTCAGGATTGTAATGCTTACTGCGAATAAGTCAATAACATTGTTATTTGCATACCAACAGGATGTTACTTGATTTATACTCCCTGAATCTACTGTTTTGATTCTATTCCATCAGATTTGTAGAGCTTCTCTTAAGTTTTCCATTGAGAAGGAAGGATTTGAGTGGTACTATTAGGAGACTAAACACTTTGCCTAGTAATGATGATTTACTGCATTTAGCAAAGATGCCAAAATCCAACTCCTATTTTTCTAAGCAAAAAAATGCCAGACATTCTCATTCTGAGAAAAAGGCAAGCACACTGCTTTGCAGCATTTTATAATACTTTCAAAGAATGAATTTAAGACTCCTTGCTGATTTCACATGGCTTCCATAATATGAAAGCCAAAGGGGGGAAAATATCATAAAAAGTACAAAGCTCCTCAGATTTGGCCTTAATTCTAAGCACTTTCTAAAGATTACTCGTGGATCTGTTCATTAAGTACTTGATGCCGTAAATTCAAGCTCTGGCAGACTGATGAAACGAGCATAGCACTATGAATTCCAATAAGAAATATGTACATATATAAAAATTTAATTAGATTAATGTGTATGCATTTAAGATGGATATGCGTGAATACTATTTGCATAGTGTGATGTATTTCAGCATTGTCATTCACCTCACTGTTGTCATGTCTAGAAGGTAATCATGCTCTAGGATGCCTCTGCACAAGGCACTGGTAAAAATGCAGAATAACGAACTGGTCTTAAAGGCTTAAACTAAAGCCATTCACAAACTACCAGCAGACTGGGGCTCATGCCAAGTCTACTGTATGCCAGATACCGTGCCCCACAAATAGTCCAAGTAATTGAGGAGCATCCTAAATAAGCTCCTTTATCATCAGTCTCTATTTTTCAACAGTGTTGTTCTGGTAAAAATCTTATTTATAATCTCAACTTGTTGGAAGCTGTCTGTGCAGACAATTACATTTTCATTGGTTCCTAACTGGCTCCTAAAGGAAGGAATGCAAGCATTTACTTCTGCTGTCACCTCACGGGATGTAGGTCCTTTTTGAGAGTATTACCTACTGTGACCCCAAAACTAGACTTTTCAGCAGGACTGTTGACAGCAGTGAAGTGTTGGGAGAATTGTAACTGACTATCAAATCCACTACACCGTCTAATTTGTTACTCAGGTCCTCAGCTGACTGCACACAAATACATAGTCAAAAAAGGTGGAACAGCTCCACTGAGATCTGAGAAGGCAGTTTCATATGTTTTAATTAGATTGCAAGTTCCTTGGGGCCCAGCTGTAACTTCTACTCTTCGGTTCTTCATGTACCAAACAGAAAAATAAGTGATCTCCATGAAGCGGTATGAATTGGAGAAAAGTAAACAGAACAGAACTTTTTATCCTTTCTTTTTTCTCATGTAAAATAAATCAAAATAGTTTAGAGACCTGCTATCAGAAAATCCTATTAAACAGAGAAGAATGTACTTTTTAGAATTTATAAATATGTAACACATGAGTGCTTTCATACCCACCCAAAAGATAAAGATGGAAAACACCAACAGAGAGAAATGAAAAATACTGGGTTTTTTATACTAAGCATTTCATTATGAAGGAATTCAAACAGATAGGGTTAAATAACAATATATTAAAACCAGAAGAGCCTCTCCAGTCATTTCAGTTTTATAAAGAGAAAATGTTTTTTCCACCCACTTGCATATGCATACACTTCTTTCTGATTAGTGGTCATACAGAAATGCAATATGAATCAAGTCAGACAGTCTGGTATCTTCACATCTAAGGCCATCCTCTTGTGTGTATGAATAGTTTGAGACATCTCCAGGCTCTACAGCTAAAAAGACAGCAAAGACTCTCATCCGCAAGGCAACAACCATGCAGAATGTGTCCTTATGTGGACTCCCACTTTGGTTTTCTTTTCTAGGGTAATTTATGACACTGCCATCCAGCCTTCTATCAGAGGAAATTTATTTTGCAGCTCTATTAGTGTCTGGACAGGAAGAGAAGATCCATTGTGCTTATTACCACAGACTCTCAAATCTCTCCTATCATTAAAATCAATACTAACTGTACATCAGTCAGGTATGGCAAGTCATTCGCCGTGTCCCCAAACTGGCTTAGTCCCATACAAACACAGCATCATGCAATGACTCCAGCCGTTTCAACATTCTATCTAAAGTAAATTCTACTCAATTATTGCAAAGTAAAAGAAAGAAAAATGTTTTAAAGAGCCAGGACGTAATCTGTTTAGGGATGCTGAAATTCCATCTCTTCGCTCAATGCTAAAAAAATGGGAAAACTTTTCGTCTATTACCTAAAGCTCCTGAACAGATTTTAAGGCTAGTCTCAAGCAGAGTTTGTTAAGATAGTTAACTGCAGAAGTGACAGCTAAATGGACAACTATGGCACATCAGAGAGAGAACAGGACATGCTGGGGTAGGTTGGGACAGCCAGCTTGGAGCAACATTCTGGGTCATTATTTTTACTCTCATTCAGGACCACAAGTCAACAATGTTTTGTCTTTGCTCCAGTCTTTTTCCATATAACCTTTCATAACTACAATCTGCTGAGGGACTAATGAGGAACAAGATTAGGCCCTCCATTGGAAATGTACTTGAGCAAAAGTTGTGAGCATCTAATTCATATGGCTGCCATTTTTTGTCAGAGATATTTATTTACTTATTTATGCTGTTTAGCCCTAACTCCAGCAATTTTAGAACAAATACC